GAGTGCAGACAGGCAGTCAAAGGAGCTCTCTGGCCTCAGACCAGACCTGGACAGCTCTGGGCACTTCAACAGAACAGGGTGTTCTCATTTGCAGCCACACAGGTTCAAATGCTCACTTGCGCATGGGCCTTTAGCTAAGGAAAATTAGATTACAAAGCATATTTAATTTAAGAATAAATGAAACAGAGACACAGATATGTGAAATGACTTTGGGAGTCAAGGCAAAAAAAAAAACCCTGTTGAGCGGGTCTTCAGTAAGACACTGAAAACCTGGGAACAGTATTCTCTTTGACCGCAACAAACTTCATCTTCACTAACCCTAGCATCAGAGCAAATCAGCTATCACTGCCCTTATCCAGTTACAGCTGAATCACTCTTGGCTCTGCAAGCAGGGCAAGGATGAGAACTTGAGGCTGGAGAGGCAGGAAAATTTCCTCAATTCCCTTCCCAAAGAAAGAGCTGCGCTAAGACTCTGCTTTAAGACTGCCAGGATGTGAAGGCATTGTCTTGTTCCCTGCTGGAGCATGAGCATATATGATATGAGACGCCAAGTGGCTTAGCAACTCAGGAATAGCAACCAATACAAATAATTTCATAAAGCAGCACATGAGGAGATAGTCTTTTTGCCACTGCATGATATCAGTGACACTTTGGACAGCACTTTTCATCTGTCACTGATCTATAATTCACTTGATTTTGTCATGCTGAGTTATAATATGGACTTAGACTGAAAGCAACTTCATCAGTTACCCTCATCTGACAAGGAGAAACTAATATTATTGTATTTTACATGAAAAAACCCTCACAGTATCAGTTAAAAAATGGGAATGGAATGCCTATTTTAAAGACTTTTCTATTAAAAGTAGTTAGATGTGCCTTTCTGGCATTGCTAATACTAATTTTTACTGAGTGTATGTATGTAGTGGTGTTCCACATCAGGAGATGTCAGAATGCACCTAATTGTTCACAAGAATTCTGCAAAAAACAGTAAAACAGGCATATCACAATGACCTTTGTTGGTTCAGTGGCAAAACTGCATCCACTCACTTTAACCTGAAGCAGACTTCCAAATATGTCATGGACATGATGTTAGGTGAGCATCCACAGATGAGTTTGCTTAGGCAGTGGGATTAGTGCAGGACAAGAGAGAACACTGCTGCCTTAACCTGATGCCTTTACCCTAGGGCGACTCTCCTCTACAAAGAAAATCTAGCTGTCAAGTGTCAGTCTGAACTCCGATTAAAACGTTTCTAAGTTTTCAACATAAAACTGCCTTGTTCTTTTCTGAGCTTTGCAACCACTAGAAATAAGCTCAGAAAAATAGAAGTACCTACTTACAACATACGGAAGCTTGAATTTAAATCAACACTTCATGATTTTCTGCCCCCTACCCTAATGTCCAGCAACTAGAATAACATATAGTCAAATTCTCAGGATGTAAAAAACCCACCAACAACAGAGCTCTTGCTTGCCTGTTTTTCTGGCTCTTCAGTTTGGTTCTGCTCTGTTAAACTAGGATGAAATCACAGCAAACACTACACTAACTCTTCTGTTAATTAACAACCTGCTTCGCAACTGCACTTTTCATTCCCAGAAAGAGTGCTGCATTTTCACAAAGTATCACTTGTAGTAAGGCATTCAAACATGCTAATCGCAGCTTTGCCTCCCAGGGAGATGTATGGGCTTACTCTGCATTAGTTAAAGGCTTCTGAGTTGATTTCCTTTTATTACGGTTATTTTAGCTATTTGGAAAAAAAAAATAGAATTTGTTTTATTTTTGCAAACTTGCACAAATCCAGCTCAAGAACAGATAAAATGATACTCGCATACTCCGATATGCTTTACAAAGTAACATATAACCCCTCTTAGGTTTACAGCAGTGTCATAGAAATGCAGATAGGAGGGGGCTGGGAAGAAGAACTCTTCAGTCGTCTGTTTTTTTCCACACAGGCTACTCTGCACTGCCTATGATGGGAATGGGACAGAGAAACAACTTCAGACTGCAAAGCAGATGTGACTGTAAATTGCAACATATGCAAATCGTTCGGTGTAGCTTCCTATAAACATTGCATATTCATTTATTTTATGATCCTCACTTCTATTGTCATTATTTCAGGCTTTATTTTCATCCGGTTGCTGGGTACTCATAACAAAAATTGAAAAGTTTAGTCACAAGACAACAGGATCCAAGACTTGGTTACTGCAAATACCTGTTTACTTCAAACACTGATAGCACACGAAGAAAGAATCTGGGTCAAAAAAGAGCAACAGAGGATGCTACCTGTCTTTGTACTGAATAGCAGGCAGCTGGGAAATTGGCAAGCTTTAGCACAAAAACAGTAGGAAACTGCTTCAATGAGATTTTTTTTTTTTTTATAAGGGCATTTTAAGTGTTCAGCCAAAGTAAGAAAACTGGATGGTTTTTGTTGAATTAATGCTTCACTTTCCAATAAAACTAAGCATCTATAGCTCCCATTTCTGTATCGGTGCAGCAGTGAATTGCATCTTGCTGGGAACGACAGTGCTGATTGTATTGCTAAACAAATTAGCAGGGGACTGGACCTGTGGGTCTGGAAAGAAGCGCTCTTCAAAATAGTTGTCCACTGCTAGGCAGGGAAAGAGAGAGGAGATGCCTCAGAGCACACTTTATTAGGAAACTGCCTAGGAAGAGAAGCCCCAGGGATCTTGCTCTATTTTAAAAGCAGCTGCTATACTGATAACATATGATAATCTGCCTGGAGGATTCTAGGGTAATGTTGTAACTAGAATAAAATTGATGATGCAATCTTTGACCATGTATAAGTGGTGGGAGATTATACAATATTAAGAAAAAGATGAAAACCAGGACACTGCAGGAAGAGAATGTCTGGAGTGGATGAGAAGTAAGTTAACAGGGAATGGAGAAATGAACACAGTGGAGCCAGAGAGCCTCAGACCAAATTACAATGAGTCATGATTCTCCAAAATAACAAATCAACATAGACATATCCAGTCATCACCCAGACAAGATGGCACTTTCTGAACCAGATCTTGAAAAGAGTAATTTGTTGCTTGAAACTGAGCATTAGGATAAGCCTTTTTTCAATGAAATGTCCAGCTAATACCTTTTTTAAAAGAAGAAAAAAATTGATAGACAAACACATTTGCTTATATAGATGTTACTTTTTGAAGGTGCAGCCCTATTTGAAAATGTCACAGAGCATGAGTAGAAGGCTCTTCACAAGTCCACACACACTAAGCTTCACAAGTCCACAGCACATTATGCATCGTTAATCTAGATGTATTTGTACACACATATGGACAAAGCTAACAATTTTGTTTTTAAATCCTTTTTCTGAAAATATATAGGCCAATCACATATACAAAGCCTTTACTACCTTGATCTCACTAGATGTTTTTTTCAGTGGGATTAATAAATGTCTAGAGTAAATTAATTTAGTTTATTGGTATTACTGGACACGGAAGGGCAGGCAGATCAGGCTCCAATCTACAGTGTTAAAAACAGATACAGTTGCTATAGGATTTTTAAAAATTGGACCTTAATTTAAAATAAATAATTTAAAAAGTTCCTCTAAATCCATACTTCCTTACAAAAGCTCAGGACTCCTCTTGTGGAAGCCACCTGGAACTCTGCCATGAGAATAAATGGCAGCCATATCAGTGGCAGTAGAAATGGTAGATAAATTAATTGCCTACAAGATCACCTTTATTTAAAAAAAAAACCATCGGCATAAGATTAATTTGACACAATGTAGATCTTAGGCGTTACAGAGTCAATTAGTGAAATGAAAAGTTAAGGTAAATCCATCACCATCAACTAATATGTATTAAAGATAATATTGTCTCTTTGCTATTCTTACAAATGCAATGGCATTTACCCTTAGGCTATTCCTATTCGGCTCCTGTAGGTGAGCATTAGCCTGTGTCATAATGATGCTCAATAATATATACACTTTAACGGGCTATTTTCTTCATGTAAAGATGAACTGCCAAGCAAAAAGACTACATCCCTACTCCTGCTTTAGGATGTATTAAAGGACTCAGTAGCAGGATCGTGCATTTTTGCTTAAATGTTGTGTGCTAATGTCTTTTGTATTGCTTTTTCTTTCAGCCCCTTCTTCAGGGAGGGGCTCTAAGCAATGCAGCATCTTGTTTAGAAGTTTTACCGTTTGCATCTTTTGAAATACACAAGCTGCTTTAGCTTTGAGAAGATTTTGAACTTGCAAATTTTCTAGACCTGCGTGTTTCCTCCACCTGCAAAAAAAGGGGCTGTTGGTTTTGGGAACTTGCAGAAAGCCTAAATACCTGTCAGCTTCCACTCCCACACACCTTCGAAGAGGTGAAGCATAAGCCCAGGCTCCTCAGCAAACAAGCACGTTGTTGCACTTGAAGGCACAGGCACTGCCGATCTGGGAGCTTCGAAGAGGGACAGCCTGCAGCCACCCTGAAAACTCAAGGCACATCTGGTCTTGTTTCCACAAAGGGGAACCTCAGATGGGGCATGCTGACAGCCCAGTGGAAAGCGCGACCCTGAACTGCTGTTGTTCCGAAAGCCCCTAAAACTTCTTTGGATGACTTTGCTCATTTATTGTCCTCAAGAATCCCCACTCCTACTGCTTAACCTACAGTGACAGGCAGACTGTCAGTTCCCAATACAGATTAAACAGACACAAGAGCAAAAAGTAAAGAACAAGCACAAGTGTTTTCTCTTAGGAAACCAGGCCCCGTTATCAGTACTGCGGTGATGCAGAGGTGGTTAAAATGTTTGAGATGAATGACAGGGCCCAGTTTTCCAAGAAGACACCCCACAAAGTGTCAGCTCCTTGATTGGGCTCTTCTTCGTTCAGATAAAGAAAACCTCTGAACTAAGTTCTTCCCTGGTACATCACAAGAAGCTTTATATTGCACTATATTTACAATGACTGCTAGCCCTGGCTAGGCTGGGTGAAAGGTAAAAGTGTCCTTTGCCTCTCTCTAATGAAATGAGGAATGATACTCACCCTGCAAAGAGCAGGCTTTGTCCTTTGCGGACATGGCAGAAGGGCTGTCCTAGGCATTAGCATTATAGGAGGCAGGTGAAAAAGACAGTTGTCAATCTCTCATGCCTTGCCTGTTGTACAAAATGCACTGTGTTAGAACTAAATTGCACTGCTAATGAAATCATATTGTTAAATGAAGCCATTTATCATGGACAAACATTAATCAAAACTAATTCATTTTTAAACACTGTACATGTTAAAAATAGATGATCACTGAAGTCTTCCTTTGCTGAGAAAACAATTAATACATGACAGGACTCCCACTCCCATTATAGGCATCACCAAGCTTACATGGGGGAATGCTGTGGTGAAAAAGACATTTTTCTCTAAATGTCACCCTGCTGTCCTCTCCCATTCCTGCCCACCAGCTTTGAAGAGGGCAAAATACAGCTCTCTGTTGATTCACCAGGCACATTTTCAGCCATCTCAATGAATGAATCTGAAGGTAGAAACAAAAGAATCGTAGCATTCTGTTCCACACACTGAACCCCAAAGGTCTTGATCTTGAAATGTCACTGGTCAGAGACGTCCAAATAAATATGCTTCAGCAAGAATTTTAACCTTTCATGAAAAGGTATAAGTACTTTCAAAGGATATATATCTTCAACACAAATACAATGTATACAAATAAAAACAAATCCAACACCACAGCTAGTCTTTAATGACACTTAATTTAAATAACAAAACAAGAATTGAGTGTTCATAGAACTGGCAAAAGATTAAAAAGACCATTTTCCCTTCAAACTGCTAATAAAAAAAGCCTCCATTTCCATAGATGCTTCCCAATGCATTACCTTTTCAGTAAGAAGTGCTAGGAGATCTAATCAGAGACAGATGCTTACTGAAACACAAATCCACAGCCAGTTGCTTCTTCAGACAGCAAAATTCACCTAAGAGTAATTAGCCTTTTGAAGAGGACCTGTGAGCTTTAAGCCTCTCTTGAACTTTCAAACTAGGGTTTAAGTAAGATTTAGGAGAGGTATAGTTATTATGTTGACCACCTGCCTAAACACTTAACTTAGGTGTGAAGTAGAGCATATGGGAACACGTATCAGTGGTGTCAAAGGCCGACAATACATCTAATAAAAAACCTGCACAGGAACCTCCAATATTCATCGTCCATTGCTAGGAGTCAGGTATCCACCATCCATGCAAGTGCATCTGAAGTCCTCCTTGAGTTACTTGAACATAAAGTTGCACCAGGTCAGGTCAGTCTAAAAAGCTGAATTTGTTTGCCGAAGTCCACATCTCTTTTCTTGCTGTATTTCAGTACCAGCTGCAGACTTCTTCTAAAGCTGCAGTATTCTATGCATTTATGTATTTATTTAGTAAACTTAAGCCTCTTATCAACACTGACAAATAGTCCAAGTTAGTAGTCACAGAGCACAAAAATCCTTGGGACCAGTCAGTTTTATTTAGGTTTGGCACCAGTGACTCTATCCAGTCTTTCTTTTGTCCAGCAAAAAGAAAGTCCCCAGCCACACTTTCACCTCATCAACACAAGCTCAAGCTTTTAAGAGCAACTGCTCCCCAAGTGTTCTGCTACAGCCCTCATTTTCAAACTGTTGAGGTTTGCCATCAACCTCAGTGACACAGGAACTCCAAGACCACTAATACATGAGGGCCAGAACAGGGAGAACTGGGTGAGCCGCTGTAGAAATGCTGTTGGCAGGCTGTCACCTGGCTTTGTTCTCATCTCTCTCTTCAGTTTCAGTATCTTTATTCTGATATAAACTCCACAAAATTTCTCTGTTTTTCTCTTCTTATCCATATGGATCATAAAAATGGCTTTTCCTCAGCTACATAGCTGAGTAATGGTATTCAACCAGTGAACATGGAGGTATGTGTCCAATCCATGTAACACGTTGAAGGAAGTGTGGTATCAGAAAGGGGCAGGATGGCCAGCTGAAGAGAAACTGGTGCAACTTCCTACTCTGTCGTAGATCTGCTGAATGATCTTGGGTGACCACTGCTCAGTGTGCCCTTCTGTAAGCATGACTAACAGTCTTGATGCTTTTCAGTTCAAGGCACTGAGAAATCTCTTGGGGACACATACTAAGAGATTAGTTAGGGTATAGCTAGAGATGTCTCATTAAAGGGACAGAAAGAACTGAAATGCTCAGAAACCTCTAAGAGCCTCTCCACAGCATCAGGTGGTGCCTTGTCCCGCTGTATGGATAAAGCTATTTTGATGCAAGTAGCTGAGAAGCAGTTGTGTCAAAACCTTCAAAATTCAGTAATAAATTCTGGTTTGATCATCTTTTCTCCATTCCTTCCAGAAAGGCAAAATTTCAAATCAAGGGGGTATCTTACATCCTTCTCCCTTCTCCCCCAAGAAAGTTTAGGACTGAATCTTAAATGTGTGGATGCTGGTTCAGCCATTCATACATTTGTGTTGAAAAACAAAACCAAACCTACATTTATTAGCTGGAAAAGTCATTCCAGGAAGCTGTGAGAAAGTAAAACATCATTGGGGAGCTCATTTAGAGAAAGCACAGCAGGATGTGCAGTCACAGAAAAACAATATTCAAAAAATCTGACCTAGATAACAGTATTTCCTAGTGACTAGAATTCATTAAAAACAACATATTAATAATGTACTGCATTGGATTCTTTGAAGCTAGAGTGCCACATTCAGTTTAAATAACCCAACCCAGCTAAAAATAAAAGCAACTTTTGTGGTTTTCCTTTAAAAAAAAAACAAAACAAAACCAACAACAACAAAACACAAAGAAAGAAGAGATTTCTGCTAATAAGAAGCAGCTAATAATGTCAGTATGAAACAGAGCTCTGACTTTGTATGGTTTTATACAAGTGAATGCTTTCTTTGGTTACGAGAGAAGCTGATAAGCTTTCAGACCTGAGTGCCGGGTTGAAAGGGATTCCAAATGCAAAAGCAAAACGTAGCAGAAAGTCTCAAAATTTTACACACTATAAACCATTTTCACATAATTTTAGTGGAAAATCATGAAGATTAAATTATGCTGTCTCACAGTAGCAGTGTGTTAGCACATGTTAGGAAGTCTCCTTCAAGACTTTTCTACTTCCCTGTTTCTCCCTGAGTGCCACAGTGAAAAAAATCCTTCTTACAAAAGAAAGCTCAGTTCACACAGAGAGGGAGAAGGGAGAATCAAACTCTTTCCTACTTGAGAAGGTTTTTGAGTTATGTTGAGTACAACCCCAGGTTACCTCTCCATTTCAAGAAGCTACTCACATGCTTCTATACTCGAAGTTAAGCATGTGCTTAAGCACTATACTAATGCCAAAGTGCCCTTCTCTATCAACCCTATATTCACCTTAGAAGTAGATACGGTTTACTTTGAAGGCTTTACTGACACATAAGCATGAATAAAGAGATGAGATTCACAGACTTGTCCAGTACATCTTTTCCTGTAAAAATAACATGATGCATCACAAAATATTTTCTAGTGTAAATTCATAACTTTAGATCCCTGCAGAAGGTCCTCTTGGACATCTCCATGTCTGAAAAAGATACTCTCCTCACCCAACAAAAACCAGTCTAATCTCTAGCTTAAAATTTGCTGTAACAGAAGAAAACACACCTTCATGTTTACCACATTCAATGAGTTTGACAGTTTCTTGAAAGTGACCCCAGAAGCTGCTTTGAATGTTACAACTGCTTTATACCTACTGACTGTATGGCTAGCCGTTTGTCACTTGATAGTATTTATTTTTGCCCTGAAACAATTAGAGGAGACAAACTAAGATGTTATCTTTTATAAAACACTAAAACAATGTAGGTAGATGAGTGTGCTCCATTCTAGTCATTATTTACTTAATGCCTGTATTCGATATTCACTTCCTATCCATCAAGCCTTCTCCAAGCAAACTCATTAAAGACGGTCAATTAGACGATGACTACAGTTACTATCTACTATAGGGCCCATTCACTCTCTGAAGATAGCAAAGTACGGGTCAACAATGTTGCAGGAAAGAAAAAAGGTTCACTGTAACTTCTGCAACCTGGACAGTAAGCATTCTGCAAAACAATCCCTACTGGATTTAACAGCAGTGACTGAAGAAGTTGCTGGTTCTCCTATCCTCTTCCCACACCAGCCCATTGTCACAGTTAAATCTGATGAGTTAGTGACTCGAAGTCCCCAGACACCTCAACGCAGAAGCTGCCTCAACATCAAATAAAACCTGAAGGTGGATTACGCTTGCCCTCAGGCTGGGAGCTGCAGCAGTTGGGGAGCAGACACACTGCTTTTTGCTATTTTTACCTCAAGGATAAGGAATTCCAGCAGAGGCAGGGCAAAGTAATCAGCAGTAACTTCTTAAACTGCCTTGGCCTGAAGCAACAGAGCTCTTCAATCACAGCCCAAGGAGCAAAACCCAGCCCTGCTCCCCCACCTGCTCCATATAAGTTACCCACAAATGGATTTGCTAAAGTGAGCTGCAATTGTCTTTCTTTTGTTGCCCCAGTCGCTGACAAATCTCTGGAATGAAATTTGTTATAACTCATTTCACCAAGCAGATGAAATTTCTTCTTAGACAGGCAGTTCTGTGCAGCTTTCAATCTTAGGCAAATTTGCAAACTTACCAGAACGGAATTTGAACAAAATAGTCTCATGTGTTTCAACTGATTTTACTCTTGCATTTTAGAACTACTATTTTCAGGCCTCGCAGGCTTACATCATCTCCTTGCAGAGCCAGTAATCAGAAGTTAAACTTGGTATCTTGGAGTCAGTGCTCTCCCACCTGGGATTTCTGCGTATCATCTCAGCAGCTCTAACACAACCGGTGCCTGTCCAAGTGTCTCTAGTGACAGAGACTGCTTGGTACTCATCTGCAAGACCTCCCTAGCATTTTCTTTTCTACTCTCAAGAACAACACATTACTTCACTGTATTCAGCCTTTAAGCCTATCTACAATGCAAAACTGCTACAAGGTCCTCCTGCTGCTTTGAAGATTTCTGGCAGCAACTGTTACTGGAGATTGATTTACTCCATTTAGTACCTAGCATTTCTGTATTAGTTTCCATCATCTCCAAGTTCAACACATGGTTACAGGCTGAGTGGATAGCACAGGCTATG